GTGTTGCAAAAAATTATTCATTTTATAGAGAACACTGAAATTTTTTCTTGGTTGTGGTTAAGAGCTTTTGTTTCATTATGACACTTAGTTAAAACATATGCCTGAGCTGTACCAGATAAGCTGTCCAAAAAGTAAAAGTGTGGTTAAGTCAAATATCTTAACTGTGCATCCTATCAAAAATATAACTGTATACATGTAAAATATTTTCAAAAAATTCATTTCATTATATTATACATTTCAATACCATATAAAGTTAATAAAAAAGTTATAGTAAACTTATAGGGTTACACTTTAAAATCGTTAAGCTATCAAAGCTTGTCGAATAGTTCGAAAGATAGAAGTTGACCACTTACAGAGGAGAATAAATCATTATTTCTTTTTCCCCTATCATTTTATCATGTTTTCTTTTGTAGCGTTATATGTTAACCATAATTTCATAAAAAAAAAAATGGATTTTTAAGTTTTATTTGGCAAATCCATAAAAGCAATAATTACCAGTGTGAATTAATTACATAAATTTAATGTCAAGCGATTAATTACCAAAATGAGTTTGTTTCATAAATTTAATATTGATGGTAAACTAAAAAAGGGGTTTAAATTAATTGTAATATTTATGAACTTAATGAAATATTTATACATAATGCAATAACATAGGTAATTTCTTTTTTTATTCTTTTTCCGGATCAACATGAAAGATATAGGTTTTGTACCTTTTATTATATAAATTTAGTTCTTGATTATAAAAATCAATTTGACAGGTTTCTTTTTAGTATAAAAAAGTATTCTAAAAATCACATGGTGGGTAGCGTTTTGATTTTGGCTATTCAAAAGCCCTTGAAGGTTTTTAAAAACAACATTGGTTGTTTTTAAAAAGTGCTAAATTTTTCCCTTTTAAAAAATGAGATTTTTTTTCGTTACCATGTCGATTTTCGCCATGTATTATGCAAAGGCGTGGTTTCCACAGTGTTCTATTCAAAGTTTTCACAATTTATTTCGGCGTACTGTCTGTCCATAGCATATGAATGTGCCAATCATTTTACATGCTTGATGAAATACTTGCGAGTCCCTATGTGCGTCTATTGAGCTGGGTTCGGTGAGATTATTACCTTACTCTTGTGAATTTGCAAGATATTCTCAATTTCAGACTTCATTTTCCATCCTCTGATATCGAACCGAAAAATCTCTTGATCATTTTATAACGGCTGATATAATCAAGAAAAAAGTTCTTCGTCAGAAACTTGTTATTTTAACGTAATCATGTAAAATCTTATTTTGTTAATGTATATTTTTTATTTAATTTTTTGTTAATGTATATAGTGCTTAAATATATTTTTTGAGTGCTTGAAAAGTACTTAAAAGGTGCTTATTTTTTGTTGAAAGATTTGGCTATGCACCCTGAATCAGTAATACTTAAGATATTTAAAAAGAAATAACATTCATGTTTTATACTTAACACACACCTCCCAATTAAAGTTTTCAAATATATTCGAATCTTACCATATTGCATGGATACGATAAGTACTTTGTGTATGAATATCCTTATACGTACATATTTGTTATTGGCTATAATAGATGAAAGAACCAAGTGTCCAAATCAATAACGTATTGTAAACCCCTTGATATATGTATAAGTTATAACTTGCTAGCATGTATCAAATTAAAATTACACAGTTATATTTCCTAAAAATGCTTTATTACAAACAACATTCCATTTAGTTTTATTTATAACAAAGATATAGTGAAAACTCAAATAAATATTTTATAAAAATTCAAATAAATAATACAGAAAATACACAAATTCACAAGCTGTAGATTAAACTTCTATAAGTATTTCAAAAGGATTGGTATTTACTCCATCAAATGATATTTATGAAATACTATATTATGAGGTCAGGGAAAGATTCTTTAATATTTAATCATTCTAATTTATTTATTTCACGTAAATTGTTTCAGATTTAATGATTACAATAATTTATAATTATTCTCTTTTTAATTTTGGAAAGTAATTATTTTATGCAAATATCTACAGATTCTTTAAATTCATTTTCTCAAAATAAATACAAAAACTATGATATATGTATCTATATAATTTTGATAGTAGATTGAGGGATTTGGAGTAAATAAAATAACATACCACAGTAGTCACCCATAAAAAGGGGAAAAAATATTTAAAAAAATCTCGAACCCAAATTAATGTAAAAGTTTTGATTTTTGTTCTTAATTATAAATTTATTCTGATTTTTAAGGAAAATTTATAAGATGTGAAACTTATAAATAACTTTCATTCTGGGATTAAAAAAAGAAGTGTAATTAATAATTTATGAAAAAAAGAGGATTAGTTACAATAATAACTAAATCTTCTGTATCACAACTAAAAAAAGATAAAAAACCATAACTTCTAGTTCAGCTTCTATATTACTATCCTAAGAGTGTTTCTTGTTTTAATATTCAAATATCAATAGTGTGATTATTTAATTCAATGTTAAAAAAAAGGCTTGTTAGAAAGTTAGTGGGGTTATGCTGAAAAACATCTATTTTCTCCTTTTAAATTGAGACAATTCGTTAAATATTTTGAGAGAAATTTTTTGAGAAAGCATTTTTATTTCAGTTTTAAAAACTGATAAAAAGTTTAATGTTCACAAAAAACTATTAACTTCAGTTCAAACTGGTAGAGGGACATCTAAAGAACAGATCTACATAGAAATTTAAGAATAAATATCTAAATTCTAATTATTATAAATTGTTTCCGAGATTGAGTAAAGTAGGTATATGGTTAGGTTTAACTAAGTGTTGTATGATAGGTATATTTTTTTCTCTTAGATTTAATAAATATCTATTTACATTTCACAAAAACTTACACTTTTCGTGCTTTTTGATGAAATTATGTAGAGTTCAACAAAATATTCTGCATCGAAAGTGAAACCTAATTTTGATAGCCATGAACATTAACTCTAATTTAATAATACAAAAAAAAAAATTTTTTTTTGGCCTCTTTTTTTTAAAAATATATTCTTACATTGATTTAAGAATACATTATTTACATTTTTATTTAAAAAAAATTATTTACATATATATTTTTTTTAATGAATTACTAATTTTATAACTAGTATACCACTTTCACCATTTCAACTTCCCCTTACCTGACCCAATAAATTGGTGCTTATATTCATTTGTTATTGCTATCTACGGCTTGTCTATCTATGATTAAAATTCTATCTGTTATTTGAAATCATGTAATTCCAAATAAGATTTGGATGAATATTGAACCTGTTAAGTGGGTCTAAAATGTTCATTATACACTCTCTATTTATTCATATTTTTAATATTTCTATAGTTTGAGCTACATATTTCATAACCGCTTTACTACCGAGTTTAATTTTAACATTATACATTTAATATAACCAAGAATATTAGTGAAAAAAAAATATCAGGTACTTAAAACAGATGCCATTTTATGCTTTTAATATTTTTAAAACATAATTGGTAAAAACCACTATCTGGCTCAGGGATTTCCAACTTTGTGGCCCTCAAACTATAATTATATATTTTTGTTTTGTTGCGGACAATTTTCATAAAAATCTATATGGGTTTAAAATACTTTTCTCATTAAAAAAGAAAACCTAATTACTTCGTTTCTGTGAAATTTCACATACCAACAGTGCAAAAAAATTTATTTCTCAGGTTTTTTTCATCCAAGAAAATATTTATTCAAATACAAAAATAATTGTGTATGTTGCTTTTTTTTTTAATCTGTTTTTTATTATTTTTATTTTGTGAATATAATTTAGCATGTGCGTATCAGAAATTTTCTTGAAGAAATTCACCCATTTAGCTTTTTGAAACCACTCGTTTAGGAAGAAATTATTTACATTTGTAAATTTTAAAACGCATAAAAGAGGGAATGAATAGCATGTTTTATCTAAATTCCTTGAATTGAATATTGCATGAGCGGAAAAGAAAAAAAAATTTCAGATGCTCACCAATTTTCGTTGTTGTTGCTATAATTCCTAATAAATCGAAATTTTTTTAAATTTGTCACAGAATTACATTTAAAAGGAAAAAAAACCTTGTCACTAAGTTTCTGATTAAGAGAAGATTCAAAATGAGGCGTAACAACTTTATTTGTAATGCTTTTTAATGTCAAAAAAAAAAAAAAAACTTTAATATAAATCTGACAGAAACATTTAATGTTCCTTCATATATGAAAGACTCCTATATAAAATTTTGATAAAGTTGCGGCCTGCCATTTGACTGGTGATTTTAATAGTGGCCCTGGCCTCATGTAAGTTGGAAACCCCTGATCTAGCTCATAAGCTGCCAAAATAGAAATTTCTGATGAACATTGTTTTGTATATAAGTAGATTTTAGTAAACTGCAGGTATTATAGCTCGTAAGTATGTATAGCCTACCTATGCAAAACATTCAAAAGGAAAACATACTAAACAAAAGTATTTAAAAAAAGTTACAATTAATATGAAAAACAATAACAGATAAAAATCTTGATACTGGAACGATAGATAACAGATGAGAATGCACCCTTAATATAGATATCAGAGGTATGCCCTAGTAGACCACAAGTTCCATTCTGTCTCCAGATGGTTTTAAAGTAAAGAAAATCTATATTATTGATTACATTTATAGAATATTAATCTTATTACTAAATATTTTAAGTTACAAAAAGTATCTAATTGGTAAAAAAAAAAAAAGTGATTTTTTCCAAAAGTAAAATTTTACATAAACCACTGATGATGTAAGTTTTTATGACACAATCAATGAATATAATGGTAAATTACACATGACAATTGTTAATATTTTATATGTCACATAACTTCCAATTTAACTATGACATAACTTTTCCTTTAAATGTTTCAGATTTGTTTAGAAATAAAGATTTTTTTACACATTCTTTAATGATGATAGGAAAAAAAAAACTTTATTCTAAACCTTATTCTTATTTTTAAAATATATTATTTCTTTAAGACTTTTTTTTTCTTCAAAAAAAAAAAAAAATTCAGTACAGATTTTGAGTATAAATTTTGTGCACAATTCTTAACTTCATTTAATGGCCATTGCTGATAATATTTCACGTAAGAAAGTTATGAACTTTAAAAAAAAAAAAAAAAAATGGAAATTGATACTGATAAGAGCTAAAAATCAGAGAGGAAAAAATGTCAAAGATTTCCATGTCAGTACCTGCCTTAAAATAGTCACCAAGTTTTGGTGACTACCGAGCAGTGAAGTGTATCTGAGAAACTAATTAAAACATCACAAAACAAATTTAAACAATATAATTAGCAACCAATCTGGGCATAGGTGCAGAAAAATCTTAGAGCATTATTTACGCGGAACACATTTCTAATAATTTAGAATACTCACAAAATTTTAAAGTTTTTTTTTTTTTAATTACAGTAACTTTTTCAAAATATTTTAGAAAATCAAATTTATAAATTGTTTAACTTTTTTGGTAATAATATAACAAAGAAAAAAATTAATTTGATTTTACACAGCTCTTGAACAAACACGCATGTGTTTGAAATAAGAGGAATCAAAACACAGTGAAATAGTAATTTATAAAACTAAATTTAAGGATATTAAGTTCAGGAATTCAAACTAATAAATATGTAAATAAATTGACTTATAAAATTTTTTTTGCAGGAAAAAATTTGGCTAAGAGACATTATTTTATAATAAAATTTTTTTAAAAATTAAACCAAAAATATCCCTAGGGGTACTAGAATTTCCTCCTAATTTTATTTACTATATATTCTGCACCTTTGCTTCTGAGTAGGCCACCACATATTTGTGTATTTAAAATTTATTACAAAAACTCAATAACAGTTTTTTAAGAATTCTAGTAGGAGCAAACAGTAATCAATGTCAGAACATTCCCAAAATCTGAATGTTAAGTCAATTTTGAATAAATATTGCATAATATTACTGAGTGAAGTTATGAAGAAACTTTAATTCAATAGTCAGTCTAAGATACATTAGACTTTAAAGAGTTTTGAGGAATCAAGTGGTCTTTCTAGTCTCAGAGAAAAATTTCAAATTACTAAACAAATTTCTAAATTGCAGTTCAAGTAAAAATTTTTATGCTAAACACATAAAGTAAAGCTTTGGTTTTCTCAACGAATCGTATACATATGAAAATGTCAGGAAGTGGCTTAAATTTAATTTTGTTGTAGTTCAATAAAGTATTTCAGTCATAAACAAAATGATACTGAAAAGAAGTTTAAGAGATATACATTTCAAGCTAACAAGCTATTTTGTGCCAAATAAATTTTACATATAATATTACTAAGTGAAGATGATTATCATAATACAATAGGTTTTATGTTCCGAAATTTCGTCTTAAAGAAGTTTGTTATGTATGATATTGACAACTTGTGCTTTGCTTTGAAAGAAGTACAAGTGTTTAAAACTGCCACACAGGGAAAAAAAATTCAAATTGCACTTCACGTCAAATAAATTTTAAAATTAACAAACATATATTAATATCACTGGCTAACTATAAGAATTTCTTCCACTTGATTGTTCATAATATTTAAAAGATCCTTGTCCTGGCAAGCCTGGCCAGGATTTGAACCACCATTTATATGTAGCATACCACAATAATATAGCAAGACTGCCTCCAATCACTTTTTGGATCATAGAATGGAAATAAAGAATGGTACAAACTAGCATAACATCCCATAAAATAGAGAAATATGTAAGAACAAGGAAAGCGCTGCGCACATATGGCGTTATTTTTTCATAGTTTTCCTTTAAATGCTGTCGCTCCTCGTCTTCAAGAGGGTTTAATGGACTGTCGTCATCAAATTCAAAATTTCGAATTAACTCACCAATTCTTTCCCAACCTCGTATTGCCTTAGCTTCCTCAGCGATCAGTAAACCGCAATATATCAACAAAAATGCATGGCCGGATATATCAAATCCTCGCCAGCTATGATTATTGCGAATACAGAGTGCTCTAGAAGTATATTTATCAACAGAACAGTAAGAAGTGTACGATTCTATCAGCACGAATGATTTTGTAAAACAAAACCAAACTCCTGTTCCTACTAAAAGACGGTAGAAATGTCTTTTGATCTTGTCAATGTTACCACAACAATAGATCCACGAGGTTAACCCCAGAAAAATTGACACTACTAAAAGGGTCCAGGCCCAACCCCATTTTACGAAGTAGTAGTTGAATAAATTACTCCGCCTGGAAAAATAAGATTTTGGAATAGGAGTAAAATCGGATACTAATGAACCGCAGAGAAGAGCACCTAAATATATAGCGATTTTTAACTCGGTTTCAAATAAAACGATTTTCCTTGCTACATGCATGATTATCATCAAAAACACATGTTTGATAGAGGATGGATCAGGCAATGGCTTTTTGCCTACATTTTGAGATCTTTTCGCTTGAAAATTTTGCCAATTTAACTCCTTAGGAGATGATTTTCTTTTTCCTCCAGCCATATTTGTTTTGAAAATGTAACCATTCATTTGTTTCGTTTTTTCCTGCTCAAAAACACTGAGAGTTGAGTTGTTTTCAAAAGTTTCTTTCATTATGTAAGCTATAAGCAAACCTTCTGAATGCTTTATAAAAAACCACAATAGATGTCAAGTCTTGTCAACAAAAATATTCCATCGAATTTTAGGGATATTATGTTAGAAATCGTATTCTAATTTAATTTATTACGCGAATTTTGTTTTTATGAATACCAATGTCAGTGGCGGATAATATTAGTATTACTCCGACTGTCAAAAGAGAAATAATTTGTCAGATTTGCAATAAATCCTTTAAACGAGGCAAAGACCTTAAGAGTCATTCCGTTATTCATCTTGATGCAAAACCTTATGTTTGCAGCCAATGCCCTGAAGCCTTTAAGCACAAAACAAGTTTGAAAAGACATTCTCTAATACATTCAGGAGAAAAACCATTTACCTGTAGAATTTGTGGAAAGTCTTTTAGACAGAAGGGATCATTGAATGAACATTCTCTTACTCACTCTGGAGTGAAACCTCATACTTGTGATGTATGTAATATGGGCTTTACAACTAAAAGTAATTACGGTCGCCATCTAAAAAAACATCTATTATCCAAACCTTTTACTTGCAATATTTGTAACAAAGGATTTAATGTACGTTCTTATCTTACTCGTCATTATAATAAACATAAAGAAATTGATGAAACTATTAATTCGTTGACATCAAAATCACAGCATAAATTTTCTTCTGCAGATGAAGAAGATAAAAAACTGTCATCTGGCCATTCAGAGGAAAAGCAGTTACCTTGTACCAAAGTAATTGTTAATGCTGAGATGGTCGAAGTTACTAATCATCTTGGATTGAAGACGTATGTATGTAGAAAATGCAAGAAACATTTTAATGATTTTAGTAACTTAAAGATCCACCTTATGTCACATGTGAACAAAAAAATTTATGTCTGCGATGTTTGCAAAAGTTCTTTTACGAGTATCGGTGCTTTTTGTAAACATAAACTTGCTCACAGTCAAGACACTTTTAAGTGTGAAGATTTTCCTGAGGAAAGTGAAATTCTGCCTCAATGCTTAAAAACAGCGGCATCCAATACCACACTTAATATAAAAACAGAATATTCTGATAAGGAAGCACTTGATAAGCGATATGTTTGTAGTGTTTGCAATCGAACATTTCTGAAAGAAATTCAATTTATGCATCATTCTGTTACCCATAAATATCCAGGTCCTTATTATTGTGATATTTGTGGTGAAAATATTGAGTTTGATAAAATACATGAGCTTCATAAACATTATGAAGAGCATGGTGAAATAGCTTGTATATGTTACAATTGTATTGAGGAATCTGGTATAGTGGAGACGAATGTAAATTATTCTAAGAACACTGTTTTTAAGTGTGATATATGTTATAAATGTTTTCCTGATAAAAACCTATTAAGGAAACATTTTCCTACTCATAAAAATAGAAGACCATTATTAATAAAACTTAGTACATGATACATAAAGTCATTATTTTTCTCAACAACCAAAAAAGTACTTCTGTGTTGCTGTAGCCCTAAATAAAGTTGCGAGTATGGCATAGTTGGTGCTTCAGCATGGCAACAACACAGCTGATTAGACAAACCTTCACATATTATTATTGTTAGCTATGCCAATAACTTATATTTCTTAATTTACTGTTATATTATAAATAGTTGTCATTACATTTTACTTTGACATCATTGTATCTAATATAGTATGTTATTTATTTATTAATTTTTCATAATGTACATTATCAATTACTAAGTATAAGATGTACAATTAACTCTACATTTAATGTATATTATGTACTAAATTCTGCTATGTTTACTTATCATAAGAGATCATTTTATTTGATGAATTTTACAACCAAATTTACCAACTCTGCTTTGTAAGTTTGGCAATGTTTTGAGTTGCATAGTACAAAGAGATCTGAATTTAAATTTTTGTGTAATAGTAAAATACTGGTTAAATCCAGTTTCTTGTTTAATCTGAATTCAAAGTTAGTTAAAAAAAATAAGCATAAGAAACGACTTTTGTGATTTGTTTTATAGTTTTTTTCTTCTTATAATTGTTTAAAAACAATGCATTCAATGTTTCATTATCTGTATTTTCTATAGTTTTAAAAAATTATACTACATCTTGTTATTATACTACAACACCAGTACATACTGAGGTTTTCACTTAAAGGCCTTTAAATGATGAATAGTGTTCCGTGTGTTTTATATAAAGTACATTTATATCCAAGTTGAATACTGAGTACTAAAACAGTATACAAAAAATATGTTATAGGATCTTTAAATAGTAGGTCAGCATTTAATGGGTACTCATTAAATTTCACTTATCTAAATAAATAAATCTTTTTTTTTTAAAGAAAAATAATTATTTAAGCTTAAGGGAAGGGAGTTTACAATAAGTTCATTTTTGTTGGCATGTAAGAAGCTAGAGCCCAAAATTACCAAAAATATTCTTTTATAAAATTTGAATTCTTCCCACTGATAAATTGATGAAAAATGACATATCTTTAAGGAAAATTGAGTTTCAAGTTTTGTTTTAAAAGTGACCAAAAATCTTTTTAAAATGATTTTCTTGTGAGATTTATATACGTGAAACGACAAGTGGAAAAATTTAGGAAATTGCTTGGGTGGCATGTTGAGATGTAATTTATGTTGCAGCTTTTATTTTCCATTTATATTTTAGTGTTATGGCATTTGCAACTTGTTTAGACTGTTGAAATTATTTTAAAATCTATGAAGTTTTTAATATTATACTATCCCATTTATGGACATAATTATACACATGCATTAATACTCTGTCTATTCATACTATGTGAAGCAAAATTTATATTAAAGCCTTGATAATGTCTGATGTTAAGTCTTATTTTATTAAAGAACATGAGAACAAGTTTGATTGTATCTTTATCGTTGGGGGCATAATGGTTACTGAGTCAGTCCAAAGTAATAAAGTTTTTTTTTACTAAATGCAAATAATGTTTTATCTTGTAAGAGTGGTTTAAATACATGTCATTGATTAAAACCAGTTGAAAAACTGGATATTTTGATGGAACAGGAAAAAAAATCTTTTGCCCTAACTGCAATGATGTATTAACATTTTTTATACAAAATTTGAATTGCATTTAGTGAAGAAAACTCTCTTTTATATATAAATACTTCCTTATAAGTTGCTGAATTTTTGCACGAAAGCTGATAAAACATAAAAGCATTAGAAAATAAAATCTGTAATATATTATTTTGAAGAAAAAAAAAAGCAAAGTATATTAAATTTACCAGAGGAATGATAGTTAAATTATTAAACAAAAATTAATTGTCCTCAATATTGCAATACAAAATTTTCATTATCCGTGGGTATTCATTATAGAAGTTCAAGTGCAAATCCATTCACAAATTCTGTGCCTAGCTTAAGAGTTTTAATTTCAACAACTAGCTTGATACTTTAATCGAAGAGAACTTTTATCGTGAACTTACAAAACATGTTTGAATTCTAGAATTTTCGAATTCCAGTTTTTTGAATTCTTGAAATTTTTCTTTAACTTTTATCGTGAATTCAAGAAAACTTTAATCTATTTCCAATACAGTTTCAGAGTTTTCTATTCACCTCAGTTACAAGTCCTGTTAAATTATGAATCTATATATAGAATGACTATGTTTGAATGTCATTGACAGAAACTGATAGAAGAAACGGTATGTTTGTGATATCCAGGATATACCGCAGGGCTCGAAAAACAGCCCTTCCGCCCGTCCTCGGCGGTCAAAAATTTCTCGAATCCAGCGTCCTTGCGGACGGCCATTTTCCCGTTAATGCTTGTGATACATTTTCAATTTCTGTTATCTTACAAGAGTCTAGCGCCTCACTTCTAAAATGACCCTCTAATCTCGAAATGCAGCAACATACTGCGCATGGTGGAATCGATGTTTTCACTGTCTGGGAGTACTGCAGCGGTTCAGCGATGAACTTACAAAAAAACACATTACTTCCTGGCCTTAAACAAGAGGCGTTAAACACATTTATGAACATCTACCTAAATGGAAAACCTCTTTCTGATTTCTGTGCAAAAACCTCTGTAAATCATTGGCATGATTGTGGAACTGGCAAACGTCATATTTGATTCATTTAAAAAACGCAGTACCATCGGATAAATTGACATGATAATTGACAGATAACTTAACATTTGTTATTTAAATTATTTCATACTAGGTTTTACTATTAGTAACCTAGTATTTCTTTTATTACTGTATAATGTAATCCTAGTAACTACTAATTCATTGTGCAATTTATATAAATGAATAAGAGAAAACTATATTTTTATTTATTTAGAAGCGACGGGTACATTGTTGGACAACCCGTCCTCGGGGACGGGTAAAATTTCTGAGTTTTTTTTAGCCCTGATATAACGTATATCTTGGCGTATAAGAAGACCCTCTATTTTTGATTACAAGGTAGCAAATTTTGGATATAATTGGGTGTGCTAAGTTGACTACTGAAGAATACAAAATTGTAGGGTAGTAAAAGTAGTTCTTGAAAGCAGAAAATTAATACAGAGTTATTAATATCTATCTCATTGTTTATCATGCAGCGAGTTTTCATGAATAATGGATGTCAAATTTTATTGATGGTGCATAAGGCAACCTGTTTTGCAAAAAATTTTAGGGGTTTGAGAAGTCAACTTATACACACAGGTATTTACAGTATTTCATGTCATATATAGACTAATGCAAATGACACAAATATCTAAAATGATTAAAAAAAAAAAAAAATGAGAATAATTCTGTGCTTCATAATGCTTTTAAATTAAGGTAACATTAAGTTCACATAGTTTGTTTAGCACATATTTTGATTATGTAAACAATTTTATTCAGCTAATTAAAAAAAAAAAAAAGAAAAAAAATCAAACAAATTCAAAGGACAAAAAATAGCAAAACATATTTACAAGTTCATCAAAAATAGTGCTTTGAGATTCCACTGGAAACAACTTATTGTATTCTTCTTTAATTTGATGTAAAATAATAAAGCAAATTTCAATAAACCAACGTCGATGCTAACAACTAACTGATAACTAATCAATATCAGGCAACAATATGAGAATCTTTTCTTAAGTTATGTAATGTCTTTTAACAATAGTTTAGAAAATTATTAACGAATTGGAAATATTTGGAAAGAGCCTTAAATCCATAGTTTTAAGTAAGACTTTTTAAATTGATAATAAATATTATGAAGCCATCTAGAAAATATTTCAGTTTTCAAAAGATCTTTTTTTAAAGAAAAGAAAATCAGATTTTTTCTTCATATTTAAATTAGAGTTTACTACATTTTTCAAGCAAAGCTAATATTAATAATGCTTAATAATATCGTAAAAAAAACAATATTGCAACTAAAATATACTATTAAAGTGATTTAAATTATTTAATTACTACAAACTAACCACTGAAAAGCTCAACACCATTATCAATTATGTAAGTAAATTTAAAATTTCATTATTTTTATCCATTAACAGCATATTTTAAAATTTTTAAAAGTACTTGTATTGAAATAAATTTAGAACAAAATAGGTATAATTGAAAGATTTTTTATTAAAAGCAAATTGTTTCAGTAGGTAATGAAAAATTATAGTTTCAATATTTCATGCTGCTTTTTCTTTAAATTCTATTTTGAACATCAAATAATAATTTAAAAACATCTCCTTTCATTATTTATCTAGATAAAACCTTCATTATCAATAAGATCAGACCTTAAAAAAATAACTTTAAGAATATGCTCATATATTATATTGTGTCAACAACTTTTTTGGCCTTTATTCTTTTTAAAAAAATCAGCTGATTTATATCATGTTGATCACCCTTGTTTGAATAAATTTTTTGTTTCTAAAAAATAGGGTACATTTTATACATGACTAACTTTATTTGCAAAGTGAATCATATAAAATCGCATAATGATCTTTGGGAATCCGCAATTGTTAATGAATAGGGGTAAAACACACTTGTATAATGAAATTTTAGTTAAAATTTTCCTTCCACTTTCATTTTGTTGGTTGCAATAAATATGAATCGTAAGTAACTAAATACAGTCGTAATCGTCATAGAAATTTTTTAGGCACTCAATTCATACTCTTTGTTTTTTAAAGGCCATAGCGAATGATAGTGTGCAGGCATTAAATTTTTTTCCTCAACAAAAACCATCATAATTGGAGGAATCATTATGTATAATAAAATAATGCATCAGGTAATAAACATACATGATTTAAATTACAAAAATTTATGAAACAAATTATTTTTGTACATGTGCATATTAAAATATGACTCCCCTCCACAATGAAATTCTAGCTACAGCTTTTGAAAGTTGAGCTCTTTAATTATTTTTTTTCGAACTGGCACACAAACTACTCACAATTATCAATAAATCTTTTTATCAAATAAAAATATCACATAAATGTTATGTAGACACGTAATTCTATATAATCAAACTAAATTAAATAAAGATGTTTTAAAAGAAATAATCAATTTATTCAGTAGATCCTAGACACACTTGAGCAATAAACATTACAGTAAATTTGACATTCAAATTTCTTTTTTTTATTATACATATCAATACAAAAAAAATCACTGATATAAAAAATTAAAAAGAGAAATGTCATATACTTCTAAGATATTTTAAATAATAACAACACATTTATTTCTTTATAGAACATTTGATTGTGAAGCACAAACACTAAAAAAAGAAAACTGACAATGTTTTCTTAGACAAACTGTTAATAATATTAAAAAGAAAAATATTGAACAGAAACATTTGAGTAGTTTTCAATAAATTTATTTAACATGTTGAGCATGATAACTAAAATTTACATGAAGAAAAATCTAATCTTAAAACCAAAAGTTATAAAAATAGTTTTTTTTGTCATCTCATCACAATTTCAAAGAATAATTCAAAAGGAAAAAAAAAATATCTAAATAGAATTTACAATGCTTTAAATTATACTTTTTCTTGATAACTAAATATAATATATGAAATTAAAAAAACAATATTTCAAACTTATTTTCATAAATTAATAATTTGATCCTTTTTCTAAAATTCAATATTAGAATAAATTGAGAAATTTCTTAAGTTTCTTTTTAAATATAACAAATAATCTCTTGAACTATGACGTTAAAAACTCTGGATGAAAATTTGACCAGAAAAGTTTTTTTTTCTTTCCTTTACAGCATATCCAAATATCAATAAATATTTGTATTAAGAGCAAGAAAAAAAAGTAATAAATATTTCACAAGTTTATAAATGATAAGAGTACACTATTAAAATTTAAATAAATAAAACACAACCACATAAAAATACCAAACTATTTATCTATTTTGATAAATTCAAGCAATAACTTATTTGAAGAAAAAAAATCTGGCATTAAAACTATTCCATTTCTACTTAAATATTCATACATTTACTTTTATAAGTTTCAAAAGTAAACATGAATGTTAACAAAGGTAGTCGAATAATTTCCTTCTTCCTAAAAAAACAAAGAAATGCAATAGTTTTAATTATTACTAGTTCTTTTCTGTTTTCTAAGTAACAGCCCCAATAAATATATTAGTAAAATGGATAAATAAAAAATTTTTTTACTTCAAATTCCATTAAAATAATTGATAAATTTTAAAAGAAACAATCAGTTTATTAAGTAAATCGGGAAATTTTTTGATGCATGATTTTAAAAATTAACTGGGTGAAAATATCTTGAAATATAGATTTTATGTTCTCTCAGTAAAACCAAAATATCAATAAATATTTTTATTATAAGCAGAAATAGAAATGTAATATGCTTTAAAGCATAAACGCACATTAAAATTAGATGACAAGTTCACATTATCTTATCATGACTCTGATTCCTCTACAACCTGCAAACTTTCATCAAACAATTGCATATAATCCACCATCATTACCATTCCACAGAGGAAAAAGTGAATTGCTCACAGCACACATATAGTATATCTGTTTAAACTTTTTATGAAGCTAAGTTAAATTTTTAATATGTACTTTCGATACCATCGATTTAAAACATCCACAGAAAAAATAAGTTGTACCTTAAAAATAGTAAAGTTTTGATTAGAAAATATTTTTAATCAATTTTAAAAGTTGATAATTTCATCAATAACAGAGATTTTTTGATATGATCATATTTTTTATTGATTTATAAGTACATACAGGGTGGTAGAATAAAAGTGAACCGAGTGAGTGATGAATACGATTGGACGTGAATGTCTGCATGTACCACACAATATGATCAAAACCGGTTAATATCTTAGTACAAGTTATGTCAGAGAGATCAGTGCACATGTGAAATTGCTACTCACAGTGCAGCAGAGAGTGCCCATATAGCCCGCCAAAACATGGTTCACATTTACACAATCTTTACTCCTGACAGAGTGGTTAACAGTAATCAGTCTGGTGTCGGCCGAAGCTGGACACCTGATCTGTCAGTGTGTGATTACTTTTTGTGGGGAGCCCTCAAGTCTGAGGTGTATTGCAACCACTCTCAGAACTCTGTTCTCTGAATCATTTTTATTTGAGCCACCCTCCCTGTATAATGTACACATTTTAATGGCTTCGATAAGAAATAGTGGCTTTCAAGAATTTTTATTTGGTTCATTATAGTATTTTGAGTTAATGTGAAAATTTCTGAAATGGTAAAAAACTAGTATGGTAATTCGTTATATGGCACTTATAGGAAGTTTTACAAACATAAATTATTCAGCACCATTGGAATAGTTTCTAGCTCACTAAATTACAAAAAGTTTTCATGTCATTTATAAATATTTTAAACTTAAATGGTTTCTTGACCATTTAACGTACAGAAAATTATGGGGTATACATTTAAGAATACGTAGAAAACTGGCAAGTCCAAATTTTATTATTTGACATATGGAGAAAACAGTACTATCTATACAGACGATGCAGTACCACTGAAGTAATTGTTTGCTCCATATGCCAAAGATTTTCATGTCAGCCATAGACATTTCAAGCTCGATGGGCTTTATGACCATTTATTGTGCGGAAAACTGTGGAGGGAATATTCTGAAATACTAAAAAGCCAGCATTTCTTTCAATGACATCTTTTGGAACCTAGAAAAAATAATAGTTTAAAGTAGTAATATAAAACATAAAAATATTATATCAGTATACTGGTGCTATATTAGCATTTAACCAAGTAAAAAAATTAGTTCACAGAAGCACAAGTGAGTCAATTTCCAAAAAATTGCTAATTTTTTCAAATTAATAAATAAAGGTAATAAGATAAGAAGAAATATTTCTAAATAACTTGCTCTACATTTAAACTTATACTATTGTAAAAATGTAGTCATCTGGCACAAATTTGTAAAGATTTTGAATCTCTAAAAATAAGATTTGCAACACAATGAAATAACCATAGAAACTTGCAACCGTCGAAAATAAAATTAAATTGTTCAATTTAATAAGCACTTTCTAATACAGACCTGTCATCTTTTAAGGCTTTAGTGAGAAATGTTTGTCAAATAATCAAAGAGATAGTAAATTTTATGATTTTACATTAAATATGACATAATTTTGAAGATTAACATACATGTTTAAATAACAATGCTAACTTGCTAAAATAATTTAATTATCTATATCAGGGTGCGTAGCCAAATCTTTGAATCGAAAATAAGCACTTTTTAAAAACTTTTCAAGCACTTCCCAAAAATTTTCAAGCACTCAAAAAATTCATATTCAATCAATGATATTATTGAAAAACAAAAACTTTTTATAAACAGTTTTAGAGTTAAAAGAAAAAAACCAAAAAGAAACGGGCGTAAATCGAAACAATCAGTACTTTCCCACATCACCGAGTGAATTCAACTTGACCCTGAACTCAGAACAAAAGTACCCTTACCCCCTACGTCAAAAAAAGTGTTAGAAGTAAAATAAAATAAACAAGAACAAAACTAAAATAAATTAAAAAGAAAACAATTTCATAAGGATCTGATATTCTCTATCCGAATTGGAGCACTCGGGTATCGGTTTCAAGTGTGCGCGCATGCGCAAGTCATAACGTGGGTACGACATGAAGTCCGCGTGAATGATTACGTAGCAAACTCCCCATTTTTCGTGAAATGCATGGGATCCACCAAATATCACTGAAGGGAAAAAAAAATTATTCGAAAAAAAAGCACTTTTTAAAAATGCCAGCTGAAAAAAGCACCTTTAAAAGCTTTTAAAAACGAAATCCCCAAAAAAGCACCTTTAAGCACTTTTTACAAATGCTACGCACCCTGTATATGAAAGATCTAATAAGTATGGTGTGATACCTTGAAATGCTTAAGAAATTTTAAATTCCTTTGGTTATTTTACATTATCCTACCATCATTTTAACTCTCCAATTGTTGAGCCATTGAGTAAAATTGTACACAAATTTTCCTGTTATGCACTACTCTCTCAATGAATAACATGTGGAGTAATTGGCTTTTTGAAGTAGGAAATATTGTAGCTAAAAGTTTAAAAGTTGGGAAAAGGCCGTAACCAACGCTCAGAGGTTTAAATATTGTGTAGAGCTAGAAATTCCCAAATTGATGGCTCTAAGAGACCCATGGAAACTTAATATTTTATTTGGGTAGAATTTCAAAATTTCTTAGAACATCCTATAAGCCAAACTTTTGTACGTAAATCATAATGGTATCAAATGTTATGTGATATAAAATGTATATTCTTAAAAAAAATATATAAACTAAAACTAGATAAAATATATAAACTAAAACTAAATAAAATATATAAACTAATTAGTTTAAAAAAATACATAATAGAAATATAAAAACAGCAGTTAACCTAAACAGAACTATACAAGTTACATCATTGCTTTCCACTTTTGAAAATTAGTTGGCTTGGCATTTTAAATTAAAGAAATAAATACAAATATTTTAAATTTTGATAAACGTCAATCTGTAGAAATCAATGCAAAGTTACAAGAATAAAATTCATACTTAACTAAAAAGAGTATTTTTTACTCAAATAAGCCAAATTTGATGCAAAATGCCAAAAATATTTAACTGATCAGTTTGAAATTGTGAATAAAAAAATATTAATTCCTATGAACTTATGCAGTTTTAGAACAATCACTAGAAAGGAAGCCTAGGTCGAAAATAAATCATTGCTAGAATTACATTTCTCTAGATATAATAGTTTTTTCTTTAAAAAAAATAAAAATTAAATATTTCAAAATAAGTTTAATTTCTTAGGAGAGAAACAATTGAATGATATAGATAAACAAACTCGGACAAAATGAAACAATTTCATAATACTAGGAAATATACAAACTTATAGCAAATTGAATAACTTAAAAAATAATATACACAAGCATAAAAAAGACATGGTGTAAATTTCATAAACAGAAAATTTTGAATAATTCTCTTCCATTTTTTATAAAATAAAAAAATAATGTGTAATACTACACATTGATAGTTTATACAAAATGAAATTTCTAAAATTAAATATAAAAATATACTTACAAGAAATGATTTGAGAGGCACATTTTCATCAATCACAGTATTTGGCATTACATAAGTTTCCATATCAAATTCACGATTTTCCGTTTCATAAACTACAACTTTAAAAAAATGTGTAGGAACAGCCACATTGTTTTTTCCAATGACTTGATATTTCACATACTTTTTACCATCTGTCTCCATTCTAAATTGAAATATAAGAATGAAATTAAAACTAAATTAAAATGCTAAGCTGAACAAATTCTTATAATAAGGAAAGGACTGAAAAATATTAATTACTATAAACAGTGCTTATCGTTTAATATGATCACATCAGTATTTCGAGATTTTGATTCCAACAATGGTATAAAATAATGCATTCTATTTCCCGTACCGAATATATTCTCACAGTAGAAATCAGATGGTTGCTTTCTGGAGTATTATATGTTAAGAAGCAACCTTTATTGTATCACTTATACTAAAATGTCTAATAGTTTTGAATTATAAATATTTAAAATCCAGTAGTTCATTTGCACTATCCTTGTACAATAAAATAAAGAGGTCTTAGAAAAATATTAATATGATTAAATTTATCTACAATTTTTTAAAAATTGAATCTATGCACTTGGAATGAAAAAGTACTTTTTTCAGTTACTCATGCTCCAGAACAACTAAAATACAAAGAAAAATGAAGCAGAGATTAAAATTCATAAGAATACAAACCTTGGCAAATACAAAGGTCCAGAACAAACATAAACATTTTGATATTTCTTCACTTGATGCCTTACATGCTTCTCTAAATTATTCCATGCATCACGGTTAAATCCTTTGCCAACCTAAATTAAATATAAAATATAGTGTTACCAAATATAAAAAGTACAAAATCATTAAAAAAAAAATGGACAAAATAAAAATTTAAGCAGAACAGGAGAACAAAAGTTGACTAAAATAGAAAAATACCCCTGTAAGATAGTTAATGTAATATCATTGATGTAATATTGTTACTATAATCAGGGGTCCATTTAGAAGAAATTTGGGTCCGTTAACGGCCCCTTCATAAAATATTTTTTCATAAAAACGGACCCTTTCACAAATTTGTTTATCTTCATTATTGTTTTGTGAATCGAATAAACCCTTCCCACGGGGGAAAACAAGAAAGATGGATGTAAACGAATTAAGTTTTGTCTTCAGCAGACGCTTCTTCCATTATTCGTCCAAAATGAATACTCTGCGTTTAGCAGTGTAGGCTAAATACCAAATATTTGTATGTTGCATCTCTAATTTAGAAGCCGCAATTGCTGTTAATTTTTGAAAATTTAATTTTTTTTTATTATAATTTTACAGTGCTGAGTATAATCTTGAATCTATTTACAATTTAAAAATTTATTGAAAAAGTTTTTTGCAATAACCAGATCCTATTTGCACAAATTCATAAAAGTAGGACCCTAGTTTAGGGGTGCTCAACCTGTGGCCCGCCAACCTTCGATGTGCGGCCCGCGGCCGCAATCTGAACAAAATGAAAAAAAAAATTAAATATTTGTTTTTGAAAAATAATAAAAAAAATTCGGTAATTTAAATTTACACTTTTAAGTTTTTGACGCACCCAATCTCAATCAATGCAGTTTTTCGATGGTTAACGCTACGGATTTCAGCATAGTTTTAAAAATCTCAATATTTTTAATGCATCATTATTACGATTTACGAATTTTAATTACCACTTTTGACGGTTTTCATATGTGCCGATTCCAATGACTTTTCGGTAGTTATTGCTACCCATTTTCAAGTAGTTTCTGAAATAGCGATTTTTGAAAGTTATGAAACGCTTTATTTGTGCAAACTTCATGGAAAATCTAAATGACTTTAGATCCTTTCTTCAACAGTTATTGCTGCACATTTCCGCCCGGTTTTTAAAACTTCGATATTTTAGCACGATATTATTACGAATCGCGAGTAAAGAATCGCTCATTTAGCTAACCATTTTTTGACATGGCTTATTTGTAACGATTTTATCGCAAATCAAATTATTTTTCAATCGTTATTTTAGAAATTATTGCTACACATTTCTACAAGGTTTTGAAAGTATCGATATTTTTTATACGCTATTGCGACATTTTAATTTCAAATCTCGCATTTAAATTACATAAAATTTTGATGGACTTTATTTACTCCAATTTCATCTAAAATATTAAAGTATTTTGGTTATTGTTTTAGTAGTTATTACGTTTTCCCCGTGATTTAAAAAGATTATGATATTTTTAATACTTTGACAGCAAGCGAGTTTTGAATTGCGCATTAAAATAATTATTTTTTACGTGCTCTGTTTGTGCCGATTTTATCATTTGCGTTGTACCGATTTTAACACGAATTTTTTAAGAGGTTTTTCGAAAGTGTTTTTTCTTCTTTCCCGTTATTGCTGCATTTTTATTTGTGATTTAGAATATACCTGATATTTTCACACAATATTACAACTCGTGAAATTCGATTCAGCTTTAATTTTTTTTCGTAACTTAAAAAGTAATTACGTATCTTAGCCAAATCAACACCTTCCCAGGAAAAAAAACCGAGATGTGTTTATATTAAACGCGGTCCGTTTTGCAAAAAAAAAAATTCAAAACACGGCATAATTCTTTAGTCCCATGAACACGTGCAAGTTTAACAACACACATCGAACCTATTCTTTTTGTTGTCACATGTAATTTAAAAGTCATACATCGTAATTTGTATTTACGCTATCTGAAAATTGCGCATCGCATTTCGTATTAACATTAACGAGATTTAAAAATAATCCATCGCGTTTCGTATTTACGGGATTTAAAATCACATATCGCGATTCGTGTTCTGGCGTTTAAAATATCATCCGTTGCTACTTTTCTCGCAATTCATATGCACGCGTTTTAAAAACCATATATCGCGATTCATATTCATGCATTTTAAAAATCAAGTGTTGTGAGTAGTCCTTTCGCAATTTAAAAGCCACACGATTCGTATTCACGCGATTTGAAAAACAAGCATCGAGTTTTTTATTTACGCAATTTAAAAATCACACATGGCAATTCGTATTCAAGCAATTAAAAAATAACACATAGCAATTCGTATTCAAGCAATTAAAAAATAACACATCGCTATTTGTATTTCCGCGATTTAAAAACCCAGAAAGGAAGAACACCATCTAGGACAAATTCCAAAACTGATTATGTTATTTGCTCTAAGTTTAATACTACCCACAACAACAGCTTCTGTCGAAAGACTGTTTTCCAGAATGAATTTGGCCTGTTCAAAATTACAGAGTAGTCTTTAAATACAATCATTACATTTTCATTTAATGGCTCAAAAAATATCACATGATCAAGTAGATAAAATTATCACAATATTCAAAAATTTTGCAAATTACAGTATAACCATTAAGAAATTTTTTAAACCATTTTCTACCTTCTTGGAGCATTTTATATCATTTATGATTATATGCTGGGAAATGATTTGTATATCATTAAATTTTAACTGTATAAAAAATTTAATCAAGATAAGTTTCGTAAAGTAATGTAAATTTTATTGATTGTTAATTGATTGTGTATTAATTGTAAATAGTAAGTGTCATGTTAAAAATATATTCGTCATAAAAAGTTGTAAACAAGTATCTTAATAGTTTTTTATTATTAAGGAATATAGTTCCTTAAAATTTAATGTGTTTTCTTTCTTTCTTTTTCTTCCCTCTCTCAGCCTCTTATTATTAATTTAAAATAAAAATGTCTGAAAGTTAAAGTACATTCCCTAATAAATGCTAAATCTTATTTTCCACTTAAGGGGTTTTGTTTTAATCATTTTTAACCCTATAAACTTTCTTTAAATCAAAGTATTTAACTTGAATTTATATTAATAACTAGAATATTTATTTATTTGAAATTTAATTCTATGAAGAAAAAATTTAACGTTAAAATCTATGTTTAAATGGACTTTTGTATTTTGTAATGTGATAAAAAAAATTTCAATTTTTCCATAGTTTTTAAATTATTTCAATTTATCTAAATTTTTTCTGATAAATTGATTCTGATTTTCGAATTCTGTTTTCTTTCTTAAGTAATCAGTTTTGCATTTTCTAATTTTAAACGTTTTAAAGTATTGTATTTTCTGCAAAGAGATTACAAGGTTAACCGACAAAAAGAATTTAGTGTTATATAAACAATGATGTTTATATAACAATCACCACCAACAATTGCTTTCAATATGTCGGTCTAAACACTTTGGCATGCGGCCCTTCATTGGTCAATCTGCTGTGCATGTGGCCCTTCACTGAGAAAGGTTGTGCACACCTACCCTAGTTGAAAGAATGTGACTTAACGTTTATTTTATATTCACAAATTACGAGTAATTTTTTCACAATTTTTCAAAAATAGGACCTTTCACAAAATGTCTGGACAGGCCCCTGGTAATACAATTAATATAATATAGTTAATGATAATAATGCAGTTAATATAATATAGTTAAACCATTAACTGCTTACTCTGAATTGAGTTCAGTTAGAAACTAGTTTCTTCCCAGCATAAAGTTTCTTTTCTCCTAATTATTTTTAGAAGGAAAAAACTAAGAAAAAATTATGTAAAATGTTCAAGAAATCAAATAAAGGATTAACTTTGTGGTAACATATGCATAAAGTTAAACCAATTGAAAAAAAGCGCAAATAATATAACATAAAATAGACAAACCATCATTTTTGTACTAAAGGGAAACATCTTTAAAATAACAAAATGATTTTGACTGTTTTAGGTGATATTATTTGACTTTCTTTTACGACGTTTTGACCATTTGCAGTTATTGTTGACACTCGATGAAAATCAGAGGCTAACATCTGCCCCAAGACCAGAAAGGATTAACTTTATTTAGATGAATTTTTTTTTCAAACAATTCAACTACTTTAACACTTTTTTTTACATCATATACTAATAATTTCTGCATTCTAAAAGTTCATAACCAGTGTCTAAATTACTGTATTCACTGAATTTTTAGACATAAAGAATAAAATATGTCAATCTAAAAGAAAGAGGAATTTTTAATGTCCTACAATCAAAAGAATTACTTTGACACATGAAACCCAAGAAACAAGCTACAACGATAAATAACCTCAAACAATGGTATGAGCTTAATCATATTGTTTTGATGTAGATAGATGGAAAAATAAAAAGGAAATTAAATTTCAAATTTATATTACATTTTTCTTAATAAAAGAACAAAAACAAAGTTTCTAATAACTTACAAACTGCATAAATTTACCAACTGGAAAATTCATACATGTCATTTCCTAACTTTTACCCACAAAAGGAATGAACTTACTCCAATTTTTATAAAAACATTACCTTAGACTTTTAGTCAGCAAGAATTCTCACCAATGGCAAAATAATGAATTTCTTTAATTTGAAAGGTTTATTTGGAGTGAAATGCATAGTTCGACAATTAACTATCTGTTGGCTTAAAACTTTATATTATATTTCTCAAAGTATTTATGATATATATTTAGATTAAATTTCATAAAAAAACAAACACAATCCTTTATGCTATACCAGGGGTTTCCAACTTTCATGAGACCGGGGACAGCAATTAAAAACACCAGTCAAATGGCGGGTCGCAACTTTAACAAAATTTTATATAGGACTTTTTAATGTTTGAAGGAACATTAAATATTACACAGCCAGATTTTTATCAAGTTGTACAAAACAAAAGTATTGAATTACAAATAATAATAAATATTTTCCTGGATTCAAAATCTGAGAAATAATTTTTTTGTATTTTTGGTATGTTAAATTTCACAGAAACGAAGAAATTAGTGTTTTTTTTTTTTGACAAAGGAAAGTATTTTAAATCCATATAGAATTTTTTCGAAAATAGTCCGCAAAAAATGACAACTACTAATATATTTTAGTTCGCGGGCCACAAAAAAAGGCTTTGCGGGCTGCCGGTTAGTAACCACTGTTCTATACCCTTTTGGATTCCAAAAAATCATTCTGGTATAGATGTTTTGCTCTTTACAGTATTTTAAAGAATGTAATTTTAATGACAAAATACAAAATCAGTTTAAATAGGTCCTAAGAAATCAAATTAAAAAAAATAAATCTGTTTTTAAAATTCAATGTCTCAGGAATTTGATTCTCATGAAATTTAACTAATATTGCTCAAATTTTGTATTTTTTTTATATTATAGCTATCAGCAGGTTGTTATTATTCTTAAATGAGAAAATGGTTTCCCATTGACATTTAAAATGTATGAATTTGGTCATAGCTCAGTCGCATACATAAACCTAGATGTGGCTTCCCCAACAAGATTTAAAAGCACACCCTATCCAAGACAAAAAAAAAAAAAAAATTACAATACCAAATAAAAACACTAGGGTGAAGAGATATTTTGATATTTATAATTATTTTTATTTTAAGATAATAAAAATCATAATTACGATGAAAAAGAACTGAATTGAAACTTTATACCTTTCCCACATTGCTTTAGAATAATTACAGTCAAAGTCCATTTAAGATTAATATTAATCTAAAAAATAAACTGAAAAAATGTCTTATAAAAAAATATTTTTCTTGCAACTCAGTGTTATTTTTTCTAGAGTATGTACCCTGAAATCTCTGGTGCTCCCAGCGTGTTGTTATTTATACCACTGTTATAGCTTTATAAAGGGTAAACATATAATTTGCAATACAGTCCTCTCACCATAATTTATAATCTTGAAGGGTGAACCTGATACTCTTATGTGCTATATTTTAGGCATAATCATGAATGTCTACTTTTCAATTGGATAACTCTTTAAAAAAAAAAACATTCTATTACCTGTGGAGTAATATTACTCAATACAAAAGTATCATCTAAAAAGTCTTGCCGGCATCTATGATTTCCAGCTGCAGCCAGATGTCCTCTATCAAATCCGCTGCGCTTGTAATCTGAATTAGTGGATCTAAAGTAAGGATGAATCGATAAATCTTCAAAAAATTCACTTTTTGATCTGTTAATGTTCTCATTATGTTTAATGTGGTCTTTTGTCAAATGTTCAAATACCCAATTGGGTACTCTATTCCTTCTGTCATAAGATAGAATGAAACTTTTTCGAAAACTGAGAGTATCTGGATTTGTTAAACCGAATTCTTGAACTTTATTCAAATAGTCACCAGATACACTTATGTCCATAGGCTCAGCAGGAGTGGGTAGTAAAGCATTACCAGCAAATACTTCAAAACTGCTAGGAGTTTGCACTTTATTGTACCATACACCAGCAAAGAATCCTACAGCACCAGCTACAACTGAAATACGGGCAGCCATGCTGGGAATAAAATAATCATCATTAAAAATCATTGTTTTTTAAACACAAAATTAAAGTAAAAAAGGGGCAAGGTGGCTTTTATCTTTTAGGTGAGGAATGAGTTTCTTTCATTAAAAAAATTAAACTACTCATTTGGATACAAATCAAACTTGGAGAGTCATAAAAAACATTACAACAATAACTATATATGTACATTAGGTACCTATTACAGTAATTAATTAGGACTAAATGGTATGAAAAGTAATTTGGAGTTTTTTTTATGCCTTTTAAGTAATAAGGAGAAGATTTACATATCATGATCTGTGGCAGAATAAAAATAAAGAAAAATCATTACAGAAGGGACCAACTCGAAAGGTTTATTTAATAGCTACTCCCAAACAAACCTCTATGTGTATTATTATCATTTTTAAATCTGTAAGCTTAAAATCCACTTGGCAAATTGGTGATTGTAAACGGTCTTTAGACCTCAATACAGAAATATACTCAAATAGGACAAAATGTGTTCTTTCTTTATAAAATACTCAATATATGTACAATTTGAATGAATACATAAAGGCTATTTTTGCCTCTTTCTCAGGGAGTTTTGCAATCCTGCTTACGTAAATCTTGATTTGTACCATAAATGAGTTATTATAAGAAATAGGAGAACAAAGGGTAAAATCAAACAAAATTTATGATTTTTTTTCTATCCAAAAAATACAATTAGATTTTTCTCCATATAAATAAATATTATTTATTACCTAAGAATATAATAATGCTTGAAAAATAGTTAAAAGTTAATGACTTATATGGGATATAGGTCTACTTAAATTAATTATAAAGAAATTTTTTTAAGCATTAAAATATTTATGTGATAAAAGATAAACAGTGGGGGAAGATCAAGAAAAAGATGCAAAAGAGTATTCATTGAAAACCAGAGACAACATATGCAAATATCATCCTAATACACAAAAGCGGCAAAAACTTTGTTGTACCATTTTGTACTGAAGGCTATAAAAAGATGCGAGTTATGTGTAATGAATTGTGGTATTAAGTACCATTCATTTTGCGATAATAGGTTATTAGGTGTGATATTATGCGCTTCCTATATAGCATAGCACTAATTAGATCCCCTATTCTGTATGATATTAGAGGTCGTGTAGTAGAACAAGTCTAGATAGATTTATGGAATTCCTAGCCTACTTTGAAATATACTAAATTAAAGCTAGTAATTTCAAATTCTAAGAAAATTTGATAGCGCAATCTACGGAAGATTAATCGCTAAGTCTTGGCAACTTCCAGGCAAAGGCGCAAAAACATCACAGAAGGGTATAACTCGTAGGGGTGAGATTTCCGTATCGTGGTTGAATGAAGAACAAGTCTTCGCAACTTCCGGGCAGCAGCCAGCGAGAAACTAAAGAAAACATCACAGAAAGGGACAAACTACAAAGGTATAACTCTTAGCCACCCCAGGCAAACATCTACATGTTTTATTTAAAAAAATTAGCAAGTTTGAAATTCATTTAGTGCCTTGGTGATATTAGATGGCGCGACAGATCTCAAGATAGAAATATCTCCAACTTGACTAAGAAAGTAGTAGATATTAAAATTAGAGAATTATTGTTCAAATAAAACATAAAAGATTAAAAAAAAAAAAAAAAATAAAACACTGTAAATAGATTTTTTAAAACAAATAGAAATAAAAGCATATAAGAAACCAAATTTTTGGAAAAAATATTTTTCTGAAATAATCAGAGTTAAATATTTTTCTAAGTTAAATACGTAAAATAAGATTTAAAAGAAAAGAAAAATATGTTTATTATAAGTATGCTGTTCAGATTTTTTAAGAAAAAATGTAACATCATAAAATAAAGAGAAATAAAAATTGGAAGGGATTTTTTTCTTCTTTTTTTAAAAAAAGACATACCTATTTTTAAAAGAATAATAATTCTGATAAGTTCTACATAGCAACTAAAGCTCTTTTTCTTTCAGAAAGAGAAACACACAAGAAAAAGAAGCTTCCATTATATTTTTTAAAATAAATGCAGAATAATTTACTTATATTAATATAGAAATAAGCACTGCAACATGAATAAGATTAAACTTTTACTTTTGTTTTTAAAATAACTGTTTTCACTTTAAAAGCGGAAACGGAAGCAGCCGAATTATTCTAGAGTTGAGATGTTATGAATATAGGGAAATAAAATAATGGATCTATAAGAGCTGTAAGCAAATTATCAACACATTTTCAAAATTTTGTATCTTCTAAGCCATTCTCACTGCATATAAAAACTCATTAATGAAAATTATGCAAATATATTTGCGCTTGCAATGACATTGACATATTAATTTTTTCAGGAATATTCACATGGGGAAAATATTCTCTTTATTTATTTCTGTCACAATAATAACGCTGGTTTTGAAATTGTGGAGTCTTAATATTCATGTTCCCCTCGGGTCACAATAATGGGCTATTACGAGAATGCTTTAGTTTTTAACTATTAATAAAGTTACAGAATCAGACTCAAATTCGAAATTTCTATCAAAATAAATACATAATTTCTTTTACTGAAGGATTTGGAATTTTAATAAATATTATGTCGTACTAGACGTCGCTATTATGTACTCTATTTATGTCGTACTAGAGTTGCACAACGGGCAACTGGTGACCGCCTGGGAGACATCCCTAACAATGATTCGAAGACATGCCATTGCGATTTCGATCCTTTGCGGAGGAGATGGCTCTCCCACGTCTCCTCTCCCATCCCTCCCACTTCTTCTACGTCAATTTTGGCACGTTATTGTAAAACTAATTGAGCTAAAATTATAAATTAGAGAACCTGAAATGGTCGACGTGCGACATTGAGGGATTATGTCACATCCAGGGGGCAGTTTAATGTATTTTTTTATGAATTTACTGAATAAAGTAGTTGTGACAGAAGTAATTTTCAAGCTAATAATGTTAAAATGAAAATTCTGGTTAAAGATGTTCATTTGGTAACTTTCTAATATTGAGAACATTAAGTGGCTCATTAAGTGGGTAGTTTAATAATTCCTAAATTAATTTGTAACTCTAGATTGCTGTCACCCATTAGGCACAGTGGATTCGTCTAATGTGGCCTAAGTCGGGGTAAGATTTCTCGTTCTTAATGCTGCACTTTTTCCGATTGAGTCCAAGTGGTTCACTCTATAATGCAATGACGATTTTAGAGCTGGAAGATTCACATGAAGGGAGAATGTGATGTGGGGGCTGGGTGATTATTACTATCATCTGTCCTTTAATTTAAATTGTAGTAGTTTTTTATGAAAATGTGCTTGTACTTCCTTCAGATCATCATGAAGGATCAAACCCTCGCTAATAGTCCATTTTCGAGTTCTACTGCAACATAAACAACCAAACAACTAGATAATGGATGGGTGATCGTGTAAAGCTAAGGGTGGTGGCGTTAGTGGCAAAATTGCTCTTTCATGACTTCCGGGTTACTGCTTCCGATATATTTTTACGCCGCAGATTGAAAAAACGCGCCATCATATTATTGCATCATATCTTTTGCAGTATTTCACATGTACCGAGTTCTTTCTTTCAGCCTTTAAACTTCAGCATTATCATATTAATATTATAATCATTAGAATATTTTCTAATTAGGCTATCTTAAAAAGATATTTTTAAAGATATTTTTGGCGACATTTTATTCAAATGTAGCCAAGTAAGGGATAAAATACAAAACATGGCAAACCTTAAGAATTATTCCCAATGAGATATTAACTTTCCAAAATTTTTTTTGGCCTTACCACCTCTGAGAATCAATACATTTCTGAAAGCTCTTATGAATGGTACAATTATGTTTAGATTTGAACCCAAATTACAATAACAAAACTGCATAGAATATTAGGCTTGTTCACACATCGCCTCGTAGTCATAACATAAGCGGAGGGATACACCGGAAATTTTCTAAATTTCTTCCGGTTTAAGGACGCTTGTTATTGTTTACATTAGACCACCCATCCATAATGAAACTAGTTTTATCTCAATGTATAGAATTCAAAGTAGCTAAGTATACGGGTGCTTCCCTATTTGAGTAGTAATAATAATAATAATAATAACAATAATAATAATAATAATAAAAGGAAATTCAAGCTTACATTGTTCAGTTTGTGGCTTTGTCATGGTGAAGACATTATTTCTTCACTAAAGAGTTTTATGCGATTTAAAACTATTTTGCTCTCTAAGGTTTAAGAAAAAAGTGATTAAAAAAGTTGTCGTCGATGAATTAGTAGGAGGTTGAAGAGTTGAAAAAAGTCCATGAATTAGTGCGTGCTGTGCGGAGACCGAGTAATTGCTATCCCCTCTGTCTTATACAATTAAAATAAAAAGCACGGATGAAGAATTTTCATTAACTTTTAAAAAATAATTATTATAACCAACATTTTTTTGCTGCTTTTTTTCCATCCTTTATTTACAGGTATCAACTTGGCAACAGAATACATTACGTAAATAAATAAATAAATAAATAAGTAAATAAATAAATGAATAAATATATAAATAAATAAATAATTTAGTTCAATCATATATTCATACAAACAAAGCAGCGCGGAATAAATATTTCTAAGTATTAGGCGATCAATATCTGCTCTATTTTTTATGGCACACGTTCTTGACTTCAAACTCTTCTACCTTCCTTCATTCAAAATGGCATGATTCAGGATGTTATCTCACTTGGTTCGGGGAAATTCCTCTGTATTGACAGAGCAGACTTTCGAAGGTCACAACAGGGCAGAGGAGAACAGGAAAATAGGGATAGATAAATTTATGACCACATAAAATGTAGAAAACCTTATCTTTCAATTTGCCTTCTAGGTACTTTAATGGGATGCAACATTACTTCAAGCTCCAAAAGAAATCTTCTATTGGCACTTGTCATTTCGCCTTAAAGTCCAACTTTTTTCAGGTAATCCATGAAAGGTTTTAGTTACTTTGCCCTATGCGTAACGTTGGTGCGGGTTAGTTTCGTTTAAAATGACCTAAGACAGAAGATCAATAAAGATCCTTTTATTTTCTATTTTGGATTATCAGGAATGTAATGCGGAAGCGAACAATGAACAAGCGTTTATTCTTAGAGATAAAAATAAGAATTTAATATTGTCAGTAAATCTGAAATGTAGATCATCTGTATAAATTACAGGGCAAACAGATTTATAATTTTATTTAGGATGCCCTTCCTTTCCCGATAGAACTCACAACTGTCGTAGGCGTGGAGACGGGGAGGGAAAGTCTAAACATGCGTTTAATCCTATTTATTTAATTTTCGAAAACAAACTGATTTACTCTACTTGGTAGTGTATTTCGATATATGTAAAATACAAGAATGTCCTACAATAACAATTTGAGAGTGCAAATTTTGGATTTTTTTAAATCAATTTTTTGTGACAAAATAAGGCCAATACAATTTTGCAATTAACGGCTAATGATAGATAATTAAATAATATACAGTTGTCTGTTTTTAGATTCTTAATAAGTATATTTGTTTTTTATACAATTAAACGTAAAAGAATTTTTTTTGTGCTATTCAAATCTATTTTAGCCAGTTTAAAATTAATAAAACTAGATTTTAAGAAATCTGAAAGCTGAGAAATTTGTAGTTTCAAATTACTTTCTCAAAATAGCAAATAGCATCTTTTTATTACTGCTTTAAAATTATGAGGAAAAATTCATAGGAGTTCAAAAAATTTTCTAGGGCTGTTTCATTTAATCTAATTAAGCGACCCCTTTATTTTCCATATTTTCATAAAGGTGTCGATCCAAAAATAATGTTATATCATCAAAAATTTGCTAAGTACAAAAAAATCAAGAAAACAAAAATTAAAAATTTTACCTTGAATCCAAGATTGCGTGCGTAGAGGCCTCTTAAGAAAATAGTTTAACAAAGGCAGAGGCGTACCTGTGGAAAGAAGGGCTTATGGCAAATCTCGTATTGGAGCCCTTCCCGAAATATTTATGTTCTCTTTCTTTTTTGATGCAAAACGAAATAAAAGCATTTTTTGAAGTATTTAATCCTTTTGACAATATTGCGAAAAGATGGCATTGTATATTAAAAAAAATAGATTAATAAATAAATAAAAATTAACTATGACAGTAAAATTATCTCTTTTGAAATGAAATGCATTCACGTGTATTCAAAATCATTGTTGGTCAGAAATAAAAAGGTCTGTTTTATCGCATTTATAGAAGATTCCATTGCGTTTGTTCGATTGTCAATAAAAATTCTAACAATTTGATTACGATTAACTGTTGGAATTTTCACTTTTTTATTTATTAATTACGATTTGTTATGACAATTACAAATAAAATAGCTGCAATCAAATTATGTATTTTGGTTGGTTTATTTACTGTTCTATATAAAAACCGATGCTCTTAATATAATTAAGTTTTACACAAACATTATATAAGAAAAAATATACGCATAATTGCATACAAAACTCTAGACTAAATAGCGACAATAATACATTCCTCAATGAGAAATAAATTAGAGGAAGTTAACGTTTTATTTTAAGAATATCTAGAAATAATTAATTTGTTAACAGTGAAAAAAAAGACAACAAGTAAAGAAATAGACCAGAATATATTCTGGTCTATTTTTAAAAAATCAAATTATGAAAAATTCTCTTCGCATCACAATATAACAAATTGCCGCATTCTGAAAAATTATTGTACTCAGATAAGACTTCAGATAAGTAACTCGAGAGCTTTTCAAGCGAAATTATAAAAATTTTCACGCAATTATGAAGGTCATTTATAATTATGTAAATTGTTACAAATTAACTTTTAGTAAGCATTTATTATTTTATTTAATAATAGTCGTAAAAAATTTGAATTATAAGGCATGCATTTTTTACACCGTTTTGAAAGAAGGTAATTTAACATGGAAACATGCAATATTTTAGCAAAATTGATCGAATAGTTACGAAGAAATCAAATTTTAAAAATCCAACTTTAAAAATTCGATTTCACAGAAATCCGAACTCCGTATTCGAACTAAATGAATTTAGACCAACCTGTATGACAGATTTAAAATAAATAAATAAATAAATAAATAAATAAATAAATAAATAAATAAAACTTTTTGAAATTTAATCAAAATTAATCAATTTTAAAGGTTGTTTTTAAGGAAAAAGAGAAAGATAAATCATTGGAATATTTGAGGAAAAGAGGGCTTTTTGTATCTTTATGAAAATACGTTATAAGAATGCGTATGCTTCATAATTAAACAAGCTCTAATTTTTCTATATATAAGATGCTTATTGCCTTTTTTATATTATTAAAATAAAGATAATTATTTAATTATTTATTAAAGATAATTTTAAAAATTATTGTAACTGTCAATTTATTGATAATTTTTTTCGAGTTACTAAACTGTTGTAATGGTTGGTTATAAACTACATATTTTAGCTTTAATATTATTTTGTTACCATTTTACTTTGATTATAAGAAATAAATATAGTATATGAATAAAGGACAATTTATGGACCCTTTAAAAAACAATATAACAATTTTTTTCAAGTTATATTATACGGTGTGATATAAATGTAATGTAGGTGATAAATAGTGTAAAAGACTTATAAAATTTAAAAAAAAAATAGCAATAATTTAATTTATTTTTTTTTAAATAAGAAAATGATAATAAAAGAAAAAATATGGAAGAAAAGTTAAAAAATTTTGTGACCGAGATGCTGTATAAACGTGTTTCATAACTCGAAGAAAGTTTTATAAATATTAAATAAATGTAATTTAAAAGTACAAAACAAACATGTCTTTATAAATTGAAAAAAAATCTTTTTTTTTTCAATCTGTAAGTATAAGGATTATTGAAACTTAACTTAAAGCATTAAAATATAATAAAATTTGTGAGTGAATAATACATCTGTGACTTAGAGTACCAAAAAAAAAAAAAAAAAAAAAAAGGAAAAAAGGGGACAATGCCAACAGCTGACGATATGTTTCTTAATCTAACCATTCAAAGGAAAGAAAAAACCCAACCAAACTTTTACAAGATTTCAAACTCAAAATCTATCGATTAATGAATCGAGAGAAACACATTTCTCCGTAGTTGGCAACTATTTGTTGAACGTAACTTATCACAATTATTTTTCAGGAAACTTAAGGAACTAAGTGCCACTCGATCTACATATACAGCGATGCCAACTTCCTCTGCTTAATGAGAAACTTTTTTTTTTAAGTGGTAGCAAAATTTATGTTTCAATGTTGGATTCTTGGTTCATTTAAATTAGATATAAAATTATTTTTTCAGGCCACTACGTATGTTATAATTTGAAATTTTGTGTGAAACACAATTTCATTCCAATAATCTCGTGGTAAGCATTTTAAATTTTATCAAAATTATCTAAAATTTTGCAAGTTTTTAACTGTCTACCACTTAATAAAATATTTCGGAGAAATCTTAGCTGTTGGCATTCCCGCATATAGACATTATTTCTAGAAAATATAACGAACGCATTTAACGCTAACTAATAATTTAAGTAATTAATTAAGTGTAATGCATTTATTTAAATATTTAGGAAATGATTACTTACAATCAACAAAGGTAATCCTTATAGTACACGTTGTTCACTGAAATAGTTGAATCAAATATAGAAGCCCAGAAGCTGTAACGTTCTGATCAAAATAGATTATAACTATCCAAAATAGATATTAAATGTTTGATTTTCTTGAATCAATTTTGAAACAACTAAAACGAACTGAATTGTTTACATGAGAGTGAGCACCTAACAACTTACGCTGCCTTTATTTTTCAAAATAGTGAGGAGCATTCATTGTTAAATTGTTTCATTGGTTCAAATTAGTTGTCAGCGAAGCAGAGGCACCTCCTATTTTCAGTATTTAACATTTTTGTGGAGGTGAATCCCAGGATGGGTGGCAAAAATCTCCTGTTGTGGAAGCATTTAAGCTAATTTATAGCAAATTATATTTGAAATCTATTCAACATATTCGGAAAACGTTTTTCGAAGCGATTTTAACCTCTGATAAAATTGAAGATTAACAAACATTTTACTACAGAATAATTAGTCTGGGCTACACTGGGATACCTCATGGTTTTCACATTTCTCTGTCCTCTGGTCATCTCCAAAGATCTATCTTTGCCTGAAGGGGTTCTATCAATTTCTTTCCCTGATAATTGCCCTTTTAGAAGGATTAAAATCTTGCAATGTGATATGAAGAGCAGGAACAAACTGTTTATCTTGTCTCTTTGCTTGCAGCTGAGGAAAAATTAATAAAATAAAGATTTATTCAGGGATCATGAATTCTCTGCATTCTGGTCTCTCTTTTACCTTTTCCTGTGGGTTGTGAGAAGAATGGGGGTGTGTTGTATCGTTTTAGGCACTACTGGAGGTTTCACTTTTAGCATTTCCAATTATACATAAATAATATCAAATAATCTAAGTAGAAAAGCATTTTTTCTGAGTAAATTATTTTAAATTGAAATAATTATCAAAGTAAACTATTTTAAATAAACGAAACCAATAAATATTATTTTTAGGATTTATTTTATGTTCTTATTATAAAAAAGTACACGATTTTAAATAAATACGTTACATATTACTGAGAAAAAAGGTATTGATTTATATCTATATATTTGTTACTCAAGAGCTATAACGTCACACATAGTTTAGACTATGTAAACCTTTGAATTACGGCATATTTCTGAAATATACATTCTTAATACTAGTACATATTCTATACTTTTGTAATTGAAATTATGTTATTTTATTTAGTAAGTTATTTTACTGTATATACACCGAAGAGCCATTACATTATGACCACCCTGCTAATAACATGTAGGACCACCTTTGGCCCTCAAAACTGCTAGCACTCGCAGTGGCATTGATTCCACAAGGTGCTGATAGGTAGTCTGAGGTATCTGGTACCAAGCGCTCACCAACTGGTCCTGCAATTCCCTCACATTGCGAGGGTGTAGCGTGGCAGCACGAATTTGGTTTTCCAAGTAGGATTACAAATGCTCTATTGGATTAAGGTCAGGTGAATTGGGGGGCCAAGACATGACTTGAAAGTCACCGGAATGTTCCTCCACGATTCGACCCTTATGACATGGTGCATTATCCTGTTGGTAAACACCATCCCTTGCAGGAAAAACTGTTGCCATGAATGGGTGAACTTGGTCTGCAACTATGTTCAAGTAGTTTATAGACGTCAGGGATTGTTCTATGAGGATTATGGGTCCTAATGTGCCCCATGAAAACATTGTTCCAGGGCGAGAAACCATGAAAACCTGGGAGAGCCCATTGTTATAGATGGAGGGTGGTCATAACGTAATGGCTCCTCGGTGCATAACCCAGATTTTTTTAGGCTATTTTAGTGTTCTTTTTTTCCTTTTGCAATATTATAGTTCGACTCTGAGTTAAAGTTTCAATAAAGTTTTATAAATAATATCTTGTTTGTTTATAAGATTATGAACTTTAAAATTTATAACTCTTATAAGTGAATAACCCTTTTGAATGAACATTATTACACCGTTTATTTTATAAAGGTTTAAACCTGAAAAAAAAAAATTTTTTTTTTACCCTCAAAATATTATACATTTAGTTCTTGTTTTATTTTCCATTTTTAGTAGAAAAAATGAAGCGCACAATGCACTGAAAAGAGAAAAAAACTAAATTTTCTGTAATTTTCCATAATGAATAATGAGCTTACATTTTGCCTTTTCTTGTATTAGTGATAATTAAAATTCTTTCGATTTCTGCTTTGATTTATTGTGAAGCAATGACAAGCTGCATTTTAGAAAATTTTAAATTCCTTTTAAATTAAATATATGGTTAAAAGACTTTTTGTAAAAGGATTTCGATGGAAATTTAATGTGAATTCTTTAGGAAATTCCCCCCCCCCCTCGTTTTTTTAATGCTGAATCCAATGCATCAACCTACGGAGATTTCCCGCGCTTTTCGAGTTTCGTGAAAGCGCGGGAAACCTTCTAGGGTGGCCTATAACTAAATTCTATAACTAAAAATATCCCTAAATAAAATTGCCTAATGCTCATCAACTACATTGTTTTTACGATTTGCGGTTTATTTTCATAATTTACTCCTCCAGTTACAAAACACACATGAAAAGGTTAAATGTATGCTTTTTTTTATTTCTGCCCTAACAAAAATTTTTTTATTAAAATTATTAAGTAAAAGTAAAATAGTTGATGTAATTTGCGCCTTTTTTGAAATAATGCGCCTATGGCATTCGCTATGGTTGCCATACCCATGATACGCCACTGAGCAAAGGTTAATTAAAGACACTATATCAAGCATTTTTTACTACAGATACCTGTTTTTTTCTTCTTTTTTTTAAAAATTAAAATACTGTATAAAAGGCTTACGAAAAAAAGATTTTAAAAATGTTTTCAAATTTAAGAATAGTTCACTGTACTAAATTATTAAATGGAAAAAAGGATACTTAGGGTGAAAGGAAATTTACTACCACAGCTCGCCAAAAATTATAGGAATTTAAAACACATCAAATTCTTACCTGGAATGTATGTAATTAATACAAATCAGCATTAAAAAGATTCTAAATAAAAATTTTTGATCACAAAGTAAAGCAACTATGAAAATTATCACACTATGTTGGCAAAAAAAAAATAGCTACAAATTATTTCAGTCTTTTATAAAGTATTTTAAGTAACTACTAATTACGATTAACAACACTTAAAGTTTGTTTCTTTGAAATGGTTTGTTTGGAATTGTAGATTTTTTTTAAAAATATCATTGAATTCTTTTTAAGATATCACTTATTTGAAACGGATAATCAAGAAATTGCTTTTATGATTACATACCATCTAAAAATATAAATTTTTATAAGTAGTAAAAACTTATTTTGTGAAATTATCTTTAAACCTGTTAAATTTTTTTTAATAAATACTAAATGGCTTTTTGGGTTAAAAAAATAAAACTGCAAAAATGTTGAAGGTTAATAAATTTTTTTAAGGTGGGTGGTGTATGAACTCCAAGCCCCTTCACCAGTGCTACGCACCCATGACCACTATTGTAACATTTCGGATAAAAAAAAAGCTTGTTTAGTTTGCATAAGAACAAATTATTGGTTCATGAACTTCAGTGATTAATCAATAAAATGATTCACTTGCTATATAAAGGAACATTTATAATTGAGGTTGCCATAACAAAGTGCTATTCACGTATCTATCTATCTATCTATCTATCTATCTATCTATCTATCTATCTATCTATCTATATCTATATCTATCTATCTATCTATATATATACATAAAAATCTGACAATTTTTCTTTTCAATTCTTAAACTGAGACTCTTGTTATTTCTTTATTTCTTTTACGTGGATTCAGATTCACTATTTGTTCTCTTTCAAAATCTCAACTGAAAAAACCAACATCACACAAAGAACTAGTTATATTTTAAGATAAATAACATAATTTGTTTACAAAAGGCTATTTTTCTCTACATACTACAAAAGGATTCTTCTTTAAAGCAATTTATTTTGTTGCATCTTATCGAGGAAAACACTATCAAAGATCATAATTTGATATCATTTTTTCAAGGCTGCTTCTGACATTATTATCAACAGAGTTCGCTGTCAGAATAACAGCAATGGTGATTCAACTGTCTAATTTTAAAACTGAATTTCAAATAACCATTGGCGTTATTGTTTTGGTTTTTATAATTAACTTTATTTTTAATCGATTTAATAACAAATTTCCACCAGGCCCTATTGGTTTTCCCCTGCTTGGATACATACCTTTTTTGACAAGAGACGTTCATTTGAAATTCACTGAGTTGGGAAAAAAGTATGGAGATATTTTCAGGTAAATTTTCCATTTACTTTGTTTCCTTTTGTTTTTAAGTTCTTTCTACATATTCTCGATTATCTGTATGAGTAGTTTATTTTGGTTCATTTAAAAACAATTTAATGAAACAGAATTAAACAAAACTGAATATATATATATATATATATATATNATAACTATATATATATATATATTCTCAAATTAACGGAATGTGTATGTTTATAAAATACTAAGCATAAGCAGGAAACAATTAATCTGCTGTTGTTCATGTTTTTTTCAGTTTGTTTGAAAACAAATTAGGAGGAAACGGGAACGAATACATATGTTGTAACATACACAGAAGTTTTTCTGTGTATGTTACAACAGTGTTACTAAAAACGTTATTCATTCGCACCATAAAGGAATTTATATATTCGTACAATACTGGGCACACGTATGAAGTAATTAATTAAACGAACAGGTGTAGTTTTATTATAAACTTTTTTTTTGTTACAGCAACAGAACTAAAACGAAACGTATACGTTCGCTGACTGCTGTATGCAATTGTATAATGTTGCAAAATGCATATGTACAAAACGGAATACAGGCTTGAAGTAATTATTTTTATTTACTTTTATTTGTTTTGGTTTATTTAAAAACGAATAATGATGTGATATACTTTTTTGAAGTTATACTTCTTATGCGACTTCCAACAAGGTTGCGTTAAACGTTCAACGCTACATTTTTATTGGCCGGGAAATCACGTAGTAGGATCCAGTTTTCCCTCATTCATTTCCATATTGTTTTGGTTCTCACTAGCATAAAAATAATAAAAGTCATAAAAGTATAGTTTTTCTATAAATATTTTTTTAGTTTGATTTGATACACATATAATTTAATAGGGTAGTATTTTTTATTTTCACATTTAGTGGATAACAATTGTAAAAAATGAGTGAAAACAATCCCACGGACAATGCGACAGATTTAAGGTTATGTCAAGGTACGTCTCTTGTGAATATCAATTGATTGTTAGGTTTTCTCTTTTAAAATTACATTATGACGCATTCACATACATTATTAATGCAAATACATTTTCCATGGCAAGACGATGAGGCAACCACAAGTACTTCCACTGGCTCAAGAGGTCCACGAGGGAAAAATGCACAATATTACTGTTTTTACAGAGCACAGAAGCGAGCAGAGCAGGAAAAAGAGTCGTTGAATAGAACTAGTGATCCTTCTACGACTGCTGATTCTTCCACAATTAACGTCGCAGGTTACGAAGTTTAACTTCTTCCGCGCGGAGGGTCTCCACGCACTATTTTTTTTATGTTACAACGATTCTATGCGGTCGTACTATAAAGCAATTTATATACGTTCGCACAATGATGAGTACGTGCATGAAGTAGCATTATTTGTAGGGTATTATTTGCGGGATGAAATGTAGTGAAAAAGTCTCTATTTATAGAGAGAATGTATTAGCAAATATAACAGAACGAATATGTTTTTTTAAAACATTTTTTTCTGGATATTGAGAAAAATTACTTTCGAGATTGATTTCAGGCATCCGACTGGGTAAAAATTGGTAATTTCGACGAAAATTTAATTTTTTTTATTATTATCCATTTTTAAACTTTAGTTCATTAGCTTTCTAAAACCCTTTAAAATTTTTATCTCCAATATTTAGTTTTGAAGTTACATTAACTTTTTTCGTATACTGACAGACGAAACCAAAACCGAAAGCAAGCTCACGAAAACGAAATTAAAATATTTTTTGTTTTGCTTTGAATATTTGAAATCTTATTTATTTTAACAAATTATATTTTTTAGACAAATAAAATTCCATTTCAGAAATTGATTTTCGAATTATTAATTTTTTCCCTCTTTTTTTGTCAAATTTTTCTTACATTTCAGAATTTAAGCAAAAAGTTATAAAATGCTTATTAAGCTCAGTTGCTGATGCTCCCGTTGATTACTATTTTTTACAGGAGCGAAAATATTAATAAAATTAAACTTTTAAATATTAATATATTTAAATTATAATTAATTAAATTAAATGGTAGCTAATACTAATAATATAATTAAACAAAAATTTTCTGAAATTTACACCTCATACGTCACTGACCCACTGTATTTTGTTACCAATATTTAAAAACATTATTTACCAATAATCATGTGCTGATTTTCTAATGTAACCATCCAACTATTTATTGTGGAACAGACAATCGCTTCGTTGAAGAGACGGAAAGATAAAAATAATTATTACTGCTGTATCCGGGAGAGGATAAAACTATTATTTCAATACATCCGGGAAAAAAGAGGATTAAGTTAAATAAAGATTATTCTCAGTAGTCTTCAGCAAAAAATATTTTCGTTTATTGATTATTATGGTAATTTCTGAAAATCTATTACATTCTCTGTTGTCGAATGAAACCATTTTAATCTCTACTAAGAGTTAACTTAAACAGATGAACCTTTTACTGCCCATGAAACTGGAATAATGAATTTTAACTCCTAAAATATTTTCGATAAATTAGTAGTATAAACTATTTATCTTACACTATTAAATGATACAAATTAGAAATTTTGGGTGTGTATTGAACCATATCATTCAAATTAGCTACAACCTTAATATGTGGCTAAATTGATTTACATTTTCTTACTTCTTGTATTTGATTTATATTTTCTTGTTTGCATTTTTACAAAAAAAAAAAAAAAAAAAAAATTTTAGCATTTATAAATGGATTTAGAAAATGTAAGGAAGTAAAACGTCTTTAATCGCAGCCTTTTGTGTCTAATTTAGCAACGCTAATGAAATAACAATTTAAAAATAATGAATACCAACATTATTTCTCTTATATACTTTTCAAAAAGGTGTTTAATACGTCAGTATGTCAAAGAGGTATGTTTAATATTTCACGTATTTTTCAAGGAATGAAATGAATTTACTTCTTGTACACTATCAGAAATTTTGGGTGTGTATTGAACCATATCGTTCAAATTAGTTACAACCTTAATATGTCGCTAAATTGATTTATATTTTCTTACTTCTTGTATTTGATTTACATTTTCTTACTTCTTGCATTTTTACACAAAAAAATTTATAAATAAAATAAATAAATAAATAAAAATTTAAATATTTTAGCATTTATAAATGGATTTAGAAAATTTACGGAAGTAGAACGTCCTTAATCGCAGCCCTGAACCCTACAAGGTGATTTTTTGTTTGCCTAATTTAGCTTTGCTAATAAAATAATAATTTTAAAATAATGAATACCAAAATTATTTTTCTTATATACTTTTCAAAAAGGTGTTTAATACGTCAGAATGTCAAAAAGGTATGTATAATATTTCAGGTATTTTTCAAGGAATGAAATGAATTTATTTCTTGTACACTATTGGAAATTTCGAGTGTACTATATTGAACCATATCGTTCAAATTAGTTACAATCGTAATATGTCTCTAAATTGATTTACATTTTCTTACTTCTTGCATTTGATTACACCATACTATAGTTCAATTTGAACAGTAACATTATTAAGTTTAGAACCCAATTAGGGCTACAGCAGATTGGCACCGTATTATGGTTCAAGGGATGAATATTATGTTTAAACGTTTCTGTTTGTTTAATAAAGACACGGGATGATATATCACAACGTTTTCTTTTTCTTGATATTTATTGCAGTTTTAAAACAATGGTCTAACAAAGATAAATATTTTCAGTATCATGAAAAGTACAAAGTGCGGCTATTAACCCTTAACTGATCAATACTGCTGTTAAGTGCTAAGTTCAAACTTTCAGCTTAGCTGTTTTAAATAAGCAATAAACTGATATCTATTATTAAAAATAAATATTTATTATGTTTCTAAAGAATAGCTCACTATATGAGTGATCGCAGCAAAAACTGAACTATATTAATTTTTAATTAGAATTCTATAAAAGATTAAAAATAATACAAAAGATATGATAATCTATAAAAAAAATGGTAAATAATAATTATGCTTATAGTTTACTGATACAATACTTTACAGATCCATGATGCAAGTGGCCACCACACTGACCGCAACAAGTGATGCTTGACTTCGATGTTTTACTGTGAACCGTGTCATAACGATAAGTCCACTGAGGGACAATTACATGTTAACTTAATATTACATATATTACTTAATATTTGTTATTACTTAATATAACACATCATAACTTAATATAACATATACTTACAGGTATAAAATTCGAATATTTTCTTTTATACTTGATCCAAAAAAAAAAGCGTCACAGTCATATGAAAACTTGCTAGGACCTGATGGGACTTAATTTTATATTTTTCCGAGCCGTTAGGAGTTAATTTCCAGGAATGATATCATAACTCTTGAAAAGATTATGTGAATTAAATATCTATTTAATATGTTTAAAAGCTATCTCCACCTGATGTAGTGTATCTGTTCTTGGAAGTAAGAGCTTTAGAAATATCTTTTTAAAAAAGTCGGATTTATTTCATTTAAATCGGATATTTTTATTTAAATTTTGTGTGTGATTTTTTTTATATTTCTCAGTCAAATTATCAAAGGATTAACAGTGCTTAATATAATTTAAAGACTATAATATAGCTGAACTAGTTCATATTTTTAGCTAAAATGTTTTACAAATTATTATTTAATTATTACAAACTGATCAATGACTAAATAAAATCGTGGTTATTTTCGTTCCAAGCTATACATCCAAAAATTTTGAAAATATACTAAGGTATAAATAAAATATGCTAAATTATAAATAAGAAATAAAAAAATATAAGTAAATATAAGTACTAAAATATAAGTAATATAAGTACTAAAGTATAAGTACTAAAATATAAGTAATATAAGTAAATATACTAAGGAAAAAAAATCTTTTTGTAAGTTCCTTTGGGCTGAATAAGTCTTCTCAATATTGGTAAAATCTTACCACATGCTTTAAAAGCACTTAAAATATTCAAATAAACATAAAAGGTTTGAAACGATGATTTTCTTAAAAAATATAATAGTTGATTTAAGTCAAGGACTTTTTTTTAAAAAAACCAGCTGATTTAAATAGCTATGATAAACATGATTTAAATCATGTCAACTCTGTTGAAAAATAAAGTAGTACTATCGCTCTCCAATGATAAGTTAATTAATAATTTCAGTTTCCTTTTTTTCGGAATAAAATTGATTATTATGTTTCCTAGTTAGAATTCAAACTATAATATTTTTTTTCTTTCTAAATCCTATTCTAGTGTAACCTTAGGATCTGTCACTCTCGTGGTTCTCAATAAAGCTGAAGATATCAGAGAAGCATTTGCAAAACCAGAATTCAACGCAAGACCACCTCATACATCTTTCTCTATATTTGATGATAAAAGTATGATTTTTAATAAATTATCATAATAACTACTATATATATATATATATATA